AGCAGAGAGGCTGACGTTTCGGGCCTAGACCTTTCTGATGAAGGGTCTAGGCCCGAAACGTCAGCCTCTCTGCTCCTATGACGCTGCTTGGCCTGCTGTGTTCATCCAGCCTTGCACCTTGTTGTCTCGAAGATTCTGTCCTGTGATTGCAATGTTAGAGGGCTCTGAACGAGCTAGGCTATGGTAAGATGTGGCAAAATCAGACAAGAAATCCGGTCAGGTCTACCTTAACAGCAGGATTGTTGTGCTCCATTGTTTATGTTTTTCAAAAGTGGTGTGGTGAGTTTCTAGCTTTCGTTCTTATCAAACTTGCCATACAAGCCAGATGTTGAGAAGACTCAACATATGCGTGTACCTGGCACATTCAGCTTGCCGCTTGCTCCTAATGACCACAATGTTGGACATGAGGTAACAGTATCACAGGGCATGTTCCATGGGCACTGGTCATGCACACCCCAAGCACATAGAAAATGGTATCCCATGTGTGCCAGTCTTTAAGATGGACCATAGACTTTGAGGGATGAGCTTATAGAGGTTTATAAAATCATGAGGGGCATAGATAAGATGAATAGCAAAGGTCTTTTCCCGAAGATAGGGGAGTTCAAACTAGAGGGAATAATTTTAAGGTGAGAGGAGAAAGATTTCAAAGTGACCTGACAGGCAACTTTTTCACACAGAGGGTGGTTCGTATGTGGAATGAACTGGCAGAGGAAGTGGTAGATGCAGGTACAGTTACAACCTTTAAAAAAACATTTGGACAGATACATGAATAGAAAAGATTTAGAGAAACATAGGCCAAAATCAGGCTAATCGGGCTAGTTTAGTTTTGGAAACTTGGTTGGCATGGATGAGTTGGAACAAAGGGACTGTGTTGTATGATTCTATGACTCCAATCCTCATGGCACATCTGTGATCCACTTACAGCATAATTCTTCACTTCAGTGTTACACCTCAGGCTGCACTGGTCACAATCATTGTAATGCTGCAGAAACAAGCTATGCGCTCAGGGATGTACACCTATGGACTGGATATGGCTGAATCCTCGGGTTCTTAGTGTTAAAAATCTCACTCACTCTGAGCCTATCCTGAACGTTTAAAGCATTCCTGCTTTGCACTGCCTTACCTTGGTGAATGTGCTTTGACCCCTCACCCAGAGATACTATGTTCATGTTACTGCTCTGTTGTCATGCCACTTAGTGGGTTGTTAGTCATGATTGTCTCTACATAAGGGGTGAGGAGCCAAATGCTGAGCTTAACTATTTCTATTCAATTCTAGGCTTTTGTCTACTAAAATGAGAGAGAGGCAGGTATTACATGAGCTGGAAATGGATGGCACGGCATTTGTGCATACTTTCTTCAGGTTGGGGGTTGGGATGTGTACTGGCTCCTGAGCAAGTGAGTAGGCTGTGCAAGAAAGCATACAGGATTAGTGGTATTGAGTATTGGGCTGGTTGAGAGCAAGTGCGGGATGATGTTGCAGGCAAAGGCAAGATTGGTAGAGCGTTAACTTCGGTGGGAGGTAGGTACAGTAACAAAGATAATGTGAATGAGGGATATTTGAGAGAAGAGTGTGGTACTTATGCTTGCTGAGTGAAGAAGATCATTAACCTTTTTCCTACATTGCTGTACATTCCTCCCAATAGCTGAGACAACTTTAGCTCAGATGGCAATGGTCTGTTGTTATGGCCTCCAATACTGGTCCTTCGAGAAAAGGAAGTCCTATGTTTCACCAATCCGTCCAGCAGGAACCTGCAGCAAAGCAGGGTGCCAATTTCTTCCTGACTGTCATGTCTGGGGCAAACGTGGGGAACTATGCAGGGCAGCTTCAGACTGACAATGCCAGTCTGTGTGTGCAACAAGTTTTCAAGGTTGGTGCGGCCGCAAGGGATGCTGGTGAATATCAGAATATCTAGTGAGTGGCAAGATGTTTTATGATGATAAGATGGGTCCAGAATTGAACAGGAGAGATGTCATGGGGATGGGGTCGGCGATTAATGTGATGCATTTGGTAAGATATGCAAGAAAACTCACCAAGCCTTAAGATTGTGGAACTGCCCCTTGTTTCTTAACTAACATTCATCCAGTAAACAACACCAAACAAAAAAGGACCATCTAGTAATATATTTGTATACCTAACTTAGAATATTAGTTTTTCAGTTATTATTTAATCTCATCTTGAAAGATTTTCCCATCTTGCTTCTCCATTTTGTTGTGCCTTATTTTTCACTGGAAACCTCATGACTAGGCACAGTCTTCAGCTGATTGTTAATCACCAAACCTTGTGTTGTAATATGATGGAATGTTACTCAGATCTTATATTGTAGCTTGATGGAACATTATTCTTGAGTCTAAGATTCTGCGTAACACAAACAATTGGCATGGATCATATTTTATTGAAAGACATCTTTGAATTAGCATATTGCACGAAAGCTAGTGTGCATTATTGAAACTTAAATCCATTTTTGCAATTTTCTGTTCCATTTGTTTAATTAAAAAATGTTGCTCAACAATGTGAGTGATGTTGTCCTGAGTAAAGCTCCTCTGCACTGTACCATTGCACTCCCAAGGCAGGTACAGAACTCAGTAGATGTAAATCTCTCAGTACCCTGTCCTATCGAACACTCCCAGGACAGGTACAACACTGGCTAAATACAGAATAAAGTTTGAACATTGTAATTTTAGTCTGCCAGCTTCACAATAATTCTCACAAGTTTCAGAACCCACAATATCCATCCATGAAAAGGAGCTGGGAAACAATATTCAGACAATTAACTGCATTAACTCTGCAATTAATGCAATTCTAACCTTAATCAGAAGTATCTTCTTAACAATTTGATCAGTATAATTTACATGATTCAGAGCTGCATTATGGTGTCCAGAGACTGACAAGGCTCCTTCATTCTGTGGAATCTCAGTATATCATACCTCTTCAATTTTCCATCCGAATGTCACCTTGGATTTGTGTGGATGAATTCTAGGGACAAGACATCCCCACCCACCCCACAAGATGGACCTTCAGAAATACAAAAACTGAAGTCTTGTGTTCACAAGGACTTCTAAAGATCCTTTATGGTTGCCTTGGAGAAGAATATTCCTCCACCGTAGGTGCACCTGAATCTTCATGTGATTGGTCGACACCACAAGATGTGAGCAAAATTTTAAAGTTAGAATATGGTCATAAAAGTAGAATTTTATATTAATTGTGTTCCTTTAAAAGTTGGCTGAGAATGATACAGAGTTTTACAGAACAGAAACAAACTACTTGAGTGAACATGTCAATGCTAGACGAGCTTCATTCCAATTTAGTTCATCTTGTCCTTCTGCGTTTTTACTTGATATCAGTGGAACAATGTTGCTCCAATCCTGGAATCCATATCGTCTAATTATTTAAATTCGTAATTACTTAAAGTATGAAACATGCAACAGTGAAGTTGCAAGAAGAAAAATAATCTCCTTAATGAATCTCCTATCAATCTTACAGCTTACACAAGATGACATGTGAAATGTGTATACCAACAGTAAAATAGTAACACGAGCACATCATAAATGAGAAATATGGTTATCTATATTAATCTGTGGCCTCTGGATTTTCACCTGGAAAAGAAAGAGGTAAATATTTTATTGCCTTCTCTAAATAAACTCAATGCTCAAGTTCAAATATCCACTTTTAAATGGGAACTAGACATGTGAAATTGTCACACTGTAATTACTGTTCTGGTCAATGTGCTGCAGTGACAGTGCAGACAGGAGGGCAGTATTACAGCCTGAGACATTTTTATGGGTAGTTCGCAGTGTAAATGTGAACAAAGGAATTGATAAAGTCAAGAAGTCACACAACACCAGGTTACAGTCCAACAGCTTTATTTGAAATCATAAACTTTTGGAGTGCTGTTCTTCGTCAGGCAGAGGGAAGCTCACAGGCACATAATTTATAGGTGGAGAGATAATTGCAAAATAATTCCAGAGAATTAAGAGTGCCAAAAGATAGAGCAAATGGTGTGAGTGCAGTGTTGACAGACTGAATAACAAGTGATCAAAAGTGTCAAACGGTGTGAATAAATCGTCAACAGCTGAACAGCAAGTGAAGGGTGACCTATGTTCCAATTAATTAAGGCAGAGGGATAATTACAAAAAATCAAAAATAAGGTGGTGCTAGAGACAAGCCAAGTGGTTTGAATAACATGGTAGGTATAAATTGCATGACGAGGGTTATATCATATTATTCCAGCCACTTGGTTTGTCTCCAGCACCATCTACTTCTGATTTTTTGTAATTATCTCTCTGCCTTAGTCGGGTTATAGCTCATCCCTTTGCTTGCTACTCAGCTGTTGACACTTTACTCACACCGTTTGACACTTTTGATCTCCTGCAAAGACTTGTTATTCCATTTGTCAACACTCCACTCACACCACTTGCACTATCTTTTGACACTCTTAATTCCTTTGAATTATATCTTGGCCTATAAATTCTGTGCCTGTGCGCTTCCCTCCATTTCACCTGATGAAGGAGTAGTACTACAAAAGCTCGTGATTTCAAATAAACCTGTTGACAGGTTTAACCTGGTGTAGGGTGACTTCTGATTTTGTCCACCCCAGTCCAACACCAGCACCTCCCCATCAAAGGAGTTGACGATAGACACTTAAAATAAGAACAGAATGTATGTTTTATGAATAAGAATATAATTACATCTGTGTGCCATAGCCCTGTTTTCCCCTGCTCTCCAATCTGCCAATTCGTCGGAAGGTTAATTAGCTTTACATTAAGAATGGCCTCCTTCTGCACTGAAGTATTTCTGTTATTCTGTGAAGGAACGCATTTCCTGTTTTCAGCTCCACTTCCCATTGTGACAGTAGGAGCAGTCTGTACCTTACACTGTTGTATCCACTGGAAAAGGGTGTTTGATATCCTATGATACAGTTTTGAATGCATTATTGCTCATGCAAGTTTTTATACCTGACTTTCTGAGAGAGAGAGCCTATAAATTTCACCCAAGTTTTCTTGACCTGAATAGTACATCTTCTTCTCAAAGAATTATCAACAGAGGTCAATTTGGGGTCACACATCAACGTAACACTTATGGTTTAACTGGTCTATTATTTAGCCAAATAATGGTTTAAACACAAACCTCCCCAGTATTGAAGTTGAAGTTGGAATTTAGCTCAAGTTTCATATTTACCACGGAAAAGTCAGACGAATCTCTTTCACCTGTTGAATCTGTATTATAAATATATGAAAAGGTAATTATATCAGGAAAGACTAATCTTGTATGTATACAGCACATTTTATGTCCTGAGTATGCCAAAATACTTCAAAGTACTTTCAGTTTGCTGCAATGTAGGAAACATGACTTGTCAATGGGCACACGATCCCACAACAGCAGTATGGTCTTTTATTGAGGGAGGAACATTGGACATCAAGAAGAACAAACAGTTCTTTATTGTCATGGGATCCTTTACACCACCTGAACTGTTAGCTACTGTTAAGTATCACAAATCAAGAACAACATTGATTGATCTATAACTGTGATGTAAGATAGGAACATGAGATCCATTCATCGCTCATTAAAATAGTGTATGAAGTAACTTCACCAAATGTGCTGCTGTGTTTAGCTTATAGCATCACACACTGGAACATTAATTTCAAGACCTCTGTTGAAACAGGCATAAGGCTAGCAACAGAATAATTCTTTTACTTGTCAGCTGGTTGAATGCTATTTATATTTTGCAGTCACCATTCCATTCATGATGAACAAAATCAGTACACTATTTGTAACCATCTTAGGTCTTGTAACTTATGGAAATAGAGTCTGTCATCTTTTGTGTCATTCAAAATAGATGAAATCTGAAGTGATTCTGGAATCAAATTAAAATAATAATCAGCTCAAATTTGAAGTGGCCTTGACTATTCCATTGCTAATACACGTCTGACTAAAATGTCTGAATAAAATTAAAGGGTACAGTAAATATCAGTCTTACTTTCATAGCTGGTATCTTCTTTGTTATACACAGTGATTGTCGAAGGATTGCAATATTCGAAATCATCTTCTGCCCATTTCTCTAATATAATTTTGTTTTGCTCATCCTCTCTGTTAAAAAACACAGTTGTGAGAGAATTGCACTTAGAATAAAAAGGTAATTGAGCCACTTTGCATGGGCTTAGTTTACCAGATCAGTTGACATGCTGTACTTCCATTTATTGCATCATTTTAGCAATTTGCTTCAAGAGGCTACAGAAATGGCCTGTGGGAGAAATGGAAATGGCTGCACACCACAAGAGAAGGACATGAGCAGCAGTGACATTGGAACAGTTGTCATCCTTGGGATCCTTGCCAAGACACACACCATTCCAATTTGAATGTAGATCAGCATCCTTTCACTGTCATTGGATCAATATCCCAAATATCCCTATTTAATACCAGGAAAGCTCCAGTGTTGGAGAGGTTGGGAATTCTCAGAAAGTCAACTAATACTCCCTAAGTATGTCATATCTCAAATTATTCAGAATAATTGGGAACTGTTTCCACTGTCTCCCTAGGGAGCCTTGAAATCCATATGTTGATCGTTGGCTCACTAACATTTCTGCTGATTAGTCTTCAAGATTCCCCCTTTCAAACTCAGTCATATTTTCTGGTCCTAGAGTTCTGACTAAGGTAAGACAGCTTGTTAAGGTCTTACTTAATGTGTTTAGAATCTGGAAAGTATCTATTACATTGTCTCTCAATCTTTTCTTTGCCCAGTTTATGCAATTTCTATCATAATCAAATTGATGCATCATTCTGGAATACCTCGTCCGTATCCTTTTAATGTTTGCAATATCCTTTCTGTGTTGTGACAATCAGAACATTGCATAGTATTCTAATGCAGTTGTGCTAATGTTGTAACGTATAAAGGCACAGGTATGAACACCTGACTCTTTCCAGTCTGCATGGTTCAGTACCAGAGGTAGTTTATAGAGACATGAGGTAGAATTTTCTGCCGCCATTTCCAGCAGGATGCCACCACCTAACACATATTTCCCTCCCCTCCTTTGTCAGCCTTCCACAGGGACTGTTCTCTCCAGGATGTCATGGTCCACTCCTCCTCCACTGCCAACACCTTCTCATACCCTCACAGCACCTTACCATGCAAAAGGTGTAACACCTACCCATTTACTTCCTCCCTCTTCTGAGGCCGCAGACACACCTTCCAGGTGAAGCAGTGATTTACCTCACTTCACTCAATCTAGTCAACTGCATTTACTGCTCACAACGTAGTCTTCTCTACAATGGACAGAAGAAGTGCAGACTGGGTGACTGCCCTTGCAGAACATCTACTCTGTGAATGCAAAAAAGACTGAATTCCAGCGTCCTACCATTTCAACAGACCATCATATTCCTTGGCCAGCATCTCTGTTTAGGGCTTGTTACAGTGGTCCAACAAAGCTCAGTGCAAGCTGGAAGAATAGCATCTCATTTTCTGCTTGGAAACACTCCAACTTCTGGATTTAATGTTGAGTTCAATAATTTTAGGGCCTGAGCACCTTCTGCTATCTCCTTACTCTAACTCCACGCACCAGGCTTTGTCATCACATGGGCTGCTATCACAACATTAGCAGCTATTCATTCTCTCAGGCTGACTTTTACCCATTCCTTTGTCTGCCCAACTGTTTTTCTCTCTCTGGGCTGTATCTTCACCTACGGTTTACTCTTTCCCCCTCCTCCTACCTCTTCTCTAACTTATAGACTAACCTTTTCCTAGCTACAATCAATTCTGAAGAAGGATTACTGGACCTAAAATGTTAACTCTGCTTTCACTTCACAGATAATGCCAGAATTGCTGAGATTTTCCATCAATTTTTGATTTTGTTTTATAATTTTCTGCATTTTGTACCTGCTGTAACATTGACAGTTTTAGGTCAGGAACCTGTTTTATTCCTTGGTGAACTTTGCCAATGCTGATGCCCAGATCCATAGCGTTAACAACTTGCCTCTGGGTTCCCAACCATTCAAGATTGGTTGCAATGCCAGGATTTCCAGGTAAAAGGTTACAAAGCTCACCAGTGGTTTGGTTTGAAGGCTGCAGTAACCATAGGAATGGTGAGGAGATCTGGGAAAGCTCTTTGGGTTTATCTCTCTTATGTGAAAGCCCTGTTGGGTTATCTGAGGGGCAGTTGAAATGAGTGAGCTATGTCAAGGACAGGCAAAAGAGGACAGTCTTTCTGAACAAGCAGCCAGAGCTGGAAGTGGCTGAGGAAGTCAATATAGCTATGTGGTCCCTGCACTGAGACAGTGCAGTAGGAGGATCCAGGACCTCTGTAATGGATCTCAGGTGAATGGCAAAACACATTCTGTTGACAAGGCCCACACTCAGATTTTCTCAGCAATGTCTTACTCAGCATCTCTCTGAAAATACAATCTGCAGTTCCACTATACCTCTTTCTGCAGGTATCTCACATTCCCCTCTGAGTAAGTTCACTTCCGCTTATGCCTAACAGTCCCCTCTCCATGTCTTTCTTAAAACTTCCCCTACTGGTTTTTTCAAGATCTATAGTACTTTATTTAAATTTCCGTGAAATGCAAAGACACAGAACCAACGTCTTAATGTTTTTGATGGTTATATTTTACTGTACCTTTGTCTGCGGTATTGTTTTCTGCCCCTTTGAAACCACACTGTGTAGACTGCAAAGGCCAAGAGGCCCAGAAGAAATAGGATCAATGCTGCTGATAAACCACCGATCAACCCATTCTTATGAATCGGAATATTACAGAAATCCCCTAAGTACCAATAGCCTTCAGTATTGTCACAGCTGGGAAAAGAAGAAGAGGAAGATTCACCATTACTGACTATTGGCATTACATCATTACTGTCTGCTGTTTCAGTTGTTAACAACACACCAGGGTCCTGAGGACAGGAGATTCACACCATTTAACTCATAGATGGGGGATATTACTGACCCCCACCTGCCATATTTACAGGTGGAGGAAACGTAAGGGTGGATGGGTGCCTGGTAATGTTTACTTGCCTACTCCCAAACAGCCTCCATGGTTCAGTGGGTTGGTAAGGCATCAACAGCCTGCCTGTTTTCCCTTCCACTTATTATGGCCTTTAATGAGCCAAATTGATGATCAATTAATGGCTTGTTTCTTCCACCAAAATAATAATGCATGCAGCTCCAGGGGTGGGTGGGGCCCTCTTGTGGCACAGTAGTAATGCCCCTACCCCTGAACCAGGAGGCCCAGGTTCAAATCCCACCATTCTAGAGGTGTGTACTAACATCTCTGAACAGGTTGATTAGAAAAATAGGTTAACAAAATATTTAGTTATTCTTGTTGATACCATCAAAAACCACATTGTCAGTTTCCCCATGTAAGCTATTGACAAACTGTTCTATCTTACCAGCATCATCTCTCTTGAGCATTTTCATATTGGATGCCAAGATGCATTATTGGACCATATAGCAGCACCATCAATAAGACCAACTATTACCTCAACTGTAACATTGCTTGACTCTGCCTTTGCCTAGGGTCATCTGCTGGAAATTTCATCCTTACGTTTAGTGCCTCTAGATGAGACTACTCTAATACACTCCTGGCCTGTGTTTCCAATTCTGATCGCTGGCAAATTTGAAGTCTTTAAAAATTCTATTCTCCGTTTCCTAAATTATCATTCATACATCACCCCTGCGTTGGCTGATCTTCACTGGCTCCCAGTTCTTTTTTTATATGACTCAGTTTTTAAAGATTTCATGCCATCACCTCTTAGATTCCCTCTACACTCACCTCCCCATTCCCCATAATGCCCATGCCAACTTAATGTTGCCTCATGCTGTCCATGCTTTCCCCATATCTCCTCATTACCACATGCTAACTCTGACGATATGCATCTTTAAGAGGGATTTGTCTGTCTGAGTTCTCTTGAAGGAGGGTGTTTTAAACCTGGTGCTGGCATGTCTGCTCCATGGAAAGCAGAGTGAATAGCTTTGGGTTTCCTTTAATTTAGTCAAAAGAGGCATAATCAGGTGGAGTCAGGCTCACAGAGACCCAGGGTTTTAGATTTTGCTTTCAGTTGTTGAAGTTGGGATTTGGGAGTTGAAGCTGCTAGAACAACTCTCTCTTTCTGCTGCTGCAAAAGGTTGAATGCACTTTCTGCTGCTAGATTCATTTAGTTGGTGTTCCATCTCCTGGACTGGAGGAAATAGCAAGTGAAGGAGATCTGTTTTGCTGAATTTGCCTTTGCCAATAGTGTGTTTATGGGATGCTGCTATATTGGAACAGTTGATGAGTAGTAGTTAAATCATGTATTGTTGATTTCAGCATTTCTATAGAGTTACAGTTATGTCAGTTCTTTCTTTGTTTGTATTTTAACTGAGGTGCAGGAATAAAGTGTGGTCTGTTTAAAGCCTATTATTTTATCAAATTGAATTACATCTGGAGCATAGTGCCTCTAAATAACAGAAGAGTTAGGATTTAGGCTATCTCCTTGACATCTTTTGAGAGGGTTTGGTCTGGTGCATTACAAATTGGGAGCTCCTGTGGATAAAAATCTCTAATTGAATGTTGGATTTAAAGTTATTGGACTCAAAGACAGCAAGTGGTGAGCATTGGTGTTTTCGTTTCAGGTGTTGCATTCAGTTGGTTTAAATAGGGTGTGCCTTGTGTAATAATGGCTGTTTCGGTGGTTAAGCGTTCCTTGGGTGTGGAAGAAATTACTTGGGGTGGTTTACAGAAAGTAAGTTAGGTAAAGCTTTTGGAATTGGTGGAATAGCTGGAGTTGAGATTGCCCGTGCTTAGAGGGGAGATGATTGCAGTGATAGCTCAGCATTTACAATTTCCAGAAATGCAATCACAATCATTGGAAATGGCTAAAATTCAATTGCAAATAAAACAGCTTGAATATGAAAAGGAAACAAAACAGTTTGAGTCATGATTGAAGGCAGAAGTAAGTGATAAAGAGAGCATGTTTGAACTTAGAGTCTTACGGCATGGAAACAGATGCTTTGTTCCAACTCATCTGTGCCAATCAGGTATCCTAATCTGACCTGGTCCCATTTGTCAGCATTTGGCCCATAACTCTCTAAATCTTCCTATCTATATACGTATCCAGATGTCTTTTAAATGTTGTAATTGTAGCCATCTCCACCACTTCCTCTGGCAGCTTGTTCCATACAGGCACCACCCTCTGATAAAAAAGTTGCTCCTCAGGTCCTTTTTAAATCTTTCCCCTCTCATCTTAAACCTGTGCCCTCTAATTTTAGCCACCCCCACCAATGGAAAAAGACCTTGGCTATTCACCCTATCCACAGTCCTCACGATTTTATAAACCTCTATGAGGTCGCACCTCAGCTTCCGATACTCCTGGAAAAATTCCCCAGCATATTCAGCCCCACCCTATAACTCAAACCCTCCAGTCCTGGCAGTATCCTTGTATTTCTGCACCCTCTCAAGTTTAACAACATCCTTGCTATAGAAGGGCAACCAGAATTGAATGCGGTATTCTAAAAGTGGCCTAACCAATGTCTAGGATAGCTGCATCGTGATGTCCCAACTCCTATGCTCAATGTTCTGACCAATGAAGGCAAACATGCCAACACCTCCATCACTATCCTGTCTACCTGCAACTCCATTTTCAAGGAACTATGCACCTGCACCCCTAGGTCTCTTTGTGCAGCAACGCTCCCCAAGGCCCTACCATTAACTAAAAACTTAAAGACCTGTGGATGCTGTAAATCAGGAACAAAAACAAAGTTGCTGGAAAAGCTCAGCAGGTCTGGCAGCATCTGTGAAAGAAGGGTCACCGGACCCGAAACGTTAATTCTGTTTTTTCCTTCACAGATGCTGCCAGACCTGCTGAGCTTTTCCAGCAACTTTGCTTTTGTTCCTGATTTACAGCTGATCAAGGTTCTATTTGTACTCTGAGATAATCTACTTCACTGTGCATTACACCACCTTTTTCAGTGTCATTGTAAAATTACTAATAATGCCTCCTACATTCACGTCTAAATCATTTATATAAATGACAAAATGCAGTAGACCCAGCACCAAACCTTGTGGAACACCGCTGGTCACAGGACTCGTAGTCTGAAAAACAACCCTCTACCACCACCCTCGGTCTCTTATCTTCAAGCCAATTTTGTATCCAGTTGGCTAGCTCACCCTGGAGCCAATGTGATCTAACCTTACTAACCGATCTACCATGCGGAACCTTTGAAACGTCTATCGCTCTGCCTTCATCAATCTTCTTTGTCACCTCTTCAAAAACATTAAGTTAGTGAGACAGGATTTCCCATGCACAAATCCATGTTGACTATTTCTAATCAGTCTTTGTCTTTTCAAATGCATGTAAATCCTGTCCCTCAGAATCCCCTCCAACAACTTAACCACCACTGATGTAAGGCTTACCAGTCTATAGTTCCCTGAGCTTCCCTTACAGCCTTTCTTAAATAGTCCACTACATTAGCCAACCTCCAGTCTTGCAGAACCTCACTCATGGCTGACAATGATACAGATATCTCAGCAAGGGGCCCAGCAATCTCTTCCCTAGCTTCCCATAAAGTTACGGGAAACATCTGATCAGGACTTGAAAGTTAGAACTGTAATGTGGAATTTGACTTAAAATGGTGGCGGTAGAGGTGAAAGGTGAGAATAGTGATGAGAACAGTGACGAAAAGCAAACCCGTTGTAGCCGAAGACCTGGTGGGGATCTGTTTAAATTTGTCCAAGTGTTGCCTAGGTTCACTGAGAAGGATGTAGAAGCCTTTTTCATTCATTTGAGAAAATGGCTAAACAAATGGAATGACCACCGACCATGTCAGTATTGTTGATTCAAACACTGGGGCTAGTGAAGTTCTTGCATCACTATCAGAGGAGATGTCTAGGGAGTATGATGAGGTGAAAAAAGCTATCTTAAGTGCATATGAAGTAGTGCCAGAAGCCTACAGACAACATTTTAGGAATCTAATGAGGGAACCTGTTTCAGCATACAAGAGTTTGAAAGGATTAAACAAAGCAACTTTGACAGGTGGATAAGGGCATTGAAAATAGATCAAACGTATGAAGTTCTTGGACTGTTATCTTGGAGGAGTTTAGAAATTCACTTCCAGAGAACTCATATGGAAGAGCAGCGAGTTAAGACTGCAAGATTAGCAACTGAAATAGCAGATGATTATGAGTTGGTTCATAATCAAAGTTTGGCTTCTGAACAACAATTTTAATCTATGAGGGATGTAAATTGGGGAAAAGAGAAATCATGTGGTAAGGGAAAAGGTGATTTCATTGAAAATAGCAAAGATAGTTTACCACATGTTAAAAAGGAAACCCATGGTTGGGGTTTGGGGGGGGGAGGTCGGTGAAGAGAAGTGAAAAAACTTAAGGTGTTTTCACTGTAGTAAAATAGGCTACATGAAGTCACAGTGTTGCTGGTTTTAAAAAATGCACTGGGAGGACTGATATGGGAAAATAGGATAAGCCAGAAGGTTTAGTGAAAGTGTCAAAGGAAAGCACAATGCGGCAAAATAATGTACAGCCTGGTCAGAGTTAGTTGAGAAGAAAGTGCTGGGGTCTCTTTAAAGAATTTACTTGCATGGGTGAGGTTTACTGATGTGTACCATCAGTAAAGGAGTAACTAAAGAGATTAAAATTTTAAGTGATAATGGAACAAATCAATCTTTGAGATATGTAATACAGAAGGAGTATTGTCAGAAAACGTAGTAATATGTGGAATTCATAGTGAGTAGAGTGGTGTGTTCAGTTATATGAGGTGAGGCTAGAGAATCCGGTGAAAAGTGGTGAAGTGGTGATAGGAGTAGTAGAAAATTCTCGGTTCCAGAAATAGAGTTTATCCTCAGGAATGATATAGCTAGATCGCAGGTGGGAATGATGCCTGCTGTGGTAGAAAAGCCATTGGAAAATCAGACAACTGAGGTGTTATAGGAAATATATTCTGGGATATTTACTGACTGCGTGGTAACAAGGTCACAAAGCAATAGGTTGAAGCAGCAGGAGAAATCAAGGAGTAAAGGTAAGGAAGTTGAAGTTCAATGATCAGAAACTGTTTGATCAAGTGATTGAGAGAAAACAAGAACAGGTGGAGGACAAAATGGATATTTTTATTTCAGAAAGGTTAGCTGAATTACAACAGAAAGATCATCATAGAGTCATCATAGAATCCCCACAGTGTGGAAGCAGGCCATTCGGCCTATCGAGTCCACACTGACCCTCTGAACAGCATTCCCCCCAGCCCCACCCTCCTACCCTATCCCTGCAACCTTGCATTTCCCATGGCTAATTCACCTAGCCTACACATCCCTGGACACTACAGGTGATTTAGCATGGCCAATCCACCTAACCTGCACTTCTTTGGACTGTGGAAGGAAACCGGAACACCCTGAGGAAACCCACCCAGACGTAGGGAGAACATGCAAACTCCACACAGAAAGTTGCACGAGTGTAATTGAACCTGGGTCCCTGGCGCTGTGAGGCAGCAGTGCTAACCACTGAGCCACAAGATGAAAAAATAAAGCAGTTGTATCGAAAAGCATACACAGAAGTAGAATTTGAGTGTATCCCAGAATGTTACTATATTAAAAATGAAGTCTTGATGAGGAAATGGAGACCATCACATATTCAGGCAGAAGTCCATCAAGTTGTATTACACCTGGGTTATAGAAAGGAGGTATTAAGAGTGGCACATGAGTTACCAGGAGGTCGTTTGGGAGTAAGGAAAACTCAAGCCAAAGTACAAAAGCATTTTTAATGGCCTGGAGGGCATAAAAATGTGATTGAATTTTGCTGGACATGTTACACATGTCAGGTAATAGGAAAACCTCAGGCAACGATAAAACCTGCACCTGTGATACCCATTCCAGCATTTGAGGAACGTTTTAATAAAGTATTAATTGATTGCATAGGACCTCACCCTAAAACAAAAAGTGGGAATCAGTATTTGTTGATCATAATGGATATGTCTGATAGATTTCCAGAGGCCCATTCCATTATGCAGTATCACAACTAAATGTTTTGTAGAAGAGTTACTCACTTTTACTATATATGGACTACCCACAGAGATATAAATTTTATATCAATCTTATTCAAGGATGTTATGGATATTCCATCCAGAATCACAGGGAGCATCAGTATGGTGGCATCAAACTTTAAAACAATGTTGAGGACCTATGATCCAGCCTCTGGATTATATAGCTGGCTCACAGGTGGAAGTGTGATCGAGGAAATTCCATTTGTACTTTTTGCAATTGGGGATACATCTGATGAATCAACTATATTCAGTCCATTTGAATTAGTTTTCAGACATGAGGTGAGAAGACCACTGAAATTAATTAGGTAGAAATTGGTGAGTCAGTATTCAGAGACTACATATTTGGACTATGTGTCAAATTTTAGACAGGGATGAAATAGATAGCATTTGAAAGTAGCACAGCAGGAAGCAGACAAGAAATCAAAAGTTCGCAATTTGGATAGTGGAGATAAAGTGTTAGTGTTACTTCCAATGGTAGGTAAACCGTTAAAGGCAAGGTTTAGTGAGCCTTATCAAATCAAAAGGAGATCGAGTGAGGTGAATTATTTGATAAGAATGGCAGATAGAAGGAGAACGCACTGAGTGTGTCATGTGAATATGGTGAAACAATATTTTGATAGGGAAGGAAGGCAAAAGGAGAATGTATTACTGGTTACAACTCAAATCCAGATGATTCTGAATTTGACATTCTTCAAATGACATTTGATAATGAAGAAGTTCCCAAAAATTAGCATAAATTATTGAGTTACCTTCCAGAGGAAAGTCAAAATAACTTAAAGGAGTTATTACAATCACATGGAGAGATATGTGGGAAAACGCTGGGAAATACACAACTGATTATACATGATGCAGATATAGGAAATGCTGTTCCAATTAAACAATATGGACTTAACCCTCTAAAATTGGCACAGGTTCAAAAAGAAATTGAAAGCACCTTCAGAGACAACATAATTGAAATGAGTTGCAGTGAATGGAGCTCACCCATATTCATGGTGCTAAAACCAGATGGCACCCAATGATTATGTGTGGACTAACGCAAAGTAAATGCCATTACAAAATCCAATTCATATCCTATTTCACATTTAGAAGACTGTATTGAGAAGGTGGGAAAAACAACTTATATTTCTAAGTTGGACTTACTCAGAGGATACTGGCAGGTCCCTTTATTCAAAAATGTGAAGGAAATTTTGGATTCTGTGACACCAAATGGATCATACCAATTTAAAGTCATGCCATTTAGTATGAAGAATGCACCAGCCACATTTCAAAGACTAACCAATACGGTCATTTTGGGATTACCAAGTTGTGTGGTTTACATAGATGATCTCGTGATTTTTAGTTACACATGGAAGGAACATTTGCAGCATCTAGCAGAATTATTTGATCAATTTCGGGAGGCAGGCTTGTTAATCAACCTGGCTAAGAGTGAGTTCGCAAAAGCCCAAGTCATGTTCCTGGGCCATATCATTGGACATGGACAGATGGCCCCTTGGGATGTGAACAAAAAGGTTATTGGAAAGTTTCCCATACTGTCGAGAAAGACAGAAATACTATGATTCTTGGCACTGAAGTGGTTTTTATGGAAAATTCATACCGAATTTTAGCTGCGTGGTTGACATTAGCTTCATTCACTGATGTTGAAGAAGTGTAGAAAATTTCAGTGGATGGAGGAGTGTCAGAGGACATTTGACAACCTGAAAGCTGTGTTGACCACTTCTCCATTGTTAGCAACACCTAACTACCCAAGCCATTCAAGGTGGCTATTGATGCAAGTGATGCGGGTATTGGTGAAGAAGGCAATGAGAGGATTTAAAGTCTTTTTCCAGAAAGTAGAATATTCATCAAAAGAAATATTCCACTATTGAGAAAGAGACCTTTGGTGTTGGTGTTGCAGTGTTTCATCATTTATGGTGCCAGCAATGTATCTGAAAAAAATGTATATACTGATCACAACCCGTTAACATGTTTGGAAAAAAATAAGGATAAAAATACCAGAGTCAAGACAGTGTGGAGCTAGAGGAAAACAGCAGGGCAGGCAGCAGAGTCCCGATGAAGGGTGTAAACCTGAAATGTTGACTTTCCTTTGTCACCTCTCCACGCTGTATTGACTGACTCCAGCATCTGCAGTTCTTGTTATCTCCAATTAAAAATACCAGCTTGTTTAGATGGAATTTATTGTTACAGCCATTCAATTTGAAAATCATACCAAGAGAATGTAATTGTGGAGGTGTGTCATGGCTTTGGTGATGGAAGACAGATGCTTGGTGGCAGAAGAAATGAACTCTGATGGGCTGTAGGTTTGAATGTTTGCATTCTTCAGGATTAGGGTAATGTATATACGTAAAATGTAGCGTACTAATAGTGTGAGACTAAAGGTTTTGAAAATGAAGCTATCTTTGTATTTGATGGTTTGTTTTTAAGGGGGTGGTGTAATGATATGTGCCTTTAAGAGGGATTTGTCTGTCCTGGTTCTCTTGAAGGGGGGTGTTGTAAACCTGATGCCCCATGGAAAGCAGAATAAATAGCTTTGGGTTTCATTAACTTTGATGAAAGAAGTATTGTTGTCTGTGAGGAACCAGAACAGTTTTTAGGTAATGAGCAGAAAATCTGGTTTACTGATGTTAGTTGTGGAATAAATATTGACACAGGGCAGTGGGAGGAAAGCTCTCATTTCCTTGTTAGAAATAGTGTAATGGGATCTTTTAAATCTGCAGTTGGAGTTTTGATTTAATGGAACTTATGACAGCTTCAACACTCCTTCATTATGATACTGAAGGGCACTACATTGTGGCAGTAAAAGTATGTAAAAATGGTGAAGCAAATTTAATTGATTGTTCAGACTTACTAGCATTTGACTCCCTTATTTGTCATTCCACATTTTCCATTTCCACATTTCAGTGAGTCATTTCTTTCTTCGTTGCAGATTGAAGCACATATGACTCCGTCATTGGTCATAGTCAGTCGATAATATTCCTTTAAATTCTCAGGAACTTGTGAAGCACAGTCTCCTGTTGATTGCAACAATGTGCCCTTTTATAAATGCATCTCAAACATACTAATAATCTTACACTTGCAGAAATACACAGAGCTGTTTCTAATTTTGTTACAACATTGCTGGGAGGAGTAAGCTGAAAATCCAGGTCCCCTTCTCCATGAGTCTTACCAAAAGTGTAAACATGTATATAATCAGTAAAATGGTCAATTTGTCTTTCATTATTGTGATGTAGAATAAAAGAGACCTTCACCAGGTCTCTTCAATAAACTCAATACTAAAGCATTTGTTAAAGGCTAAATGTATTCCTCCAATGAGCGGCAAAATTGTTATCAACTAAGCTACTGTGCTGACTTAAATCTATCCCCTCTAATCACAAACACATATTTATTTGCAGACAGGATGAGACAACACAGCTCTACAGAGGAGTTATGAGTAAAGAGATAGGGAAGAACATTGTTGATGAAAAGTCCAAACTAAAAGGGTAAAAGGGTAGAATTACTAATTTCTCGCAGTACCTTTGGTTTCTTGTCAACATGGCCATATTATTGTTGGCTGCTGAGCATTGAAAGACCTTCAGTTTGGCTAACAAGTCAGTCAATCAGGTCTTACAATTAAGTTAATAGATTGGCTTTCAGAATTTTTTGCGGAGATCAAAGACATTGATTCCATGAGCTTTCTCTGACTCTCAGGAAATACTGAGAACATTTTGAATGTGGAGGAGGTAATTTTTTGTCCTTGCTGGCATTCTGGGCACTGCTGCACCAACCTAGCCACCAGTCTTAACTTCTCGCCAACATCTTCATTTTGGACATTCCCAGATGACCCTGATGGAGTTCAGTCAGTAAGTAGGTGTGACGATCTTTGTTTGGAACAATCACTCTTGCTCCCCATAATAAAATATGGTGATGTGGTGTTGTCGGGTCCAGAATGATGGCCCTTTTGTTTCCCCCATCACCACCAGCTTTGATTGATTGATTGATTGTCACACGTACCGAAAACAGTGAAAAGCTTTGTTTACGCGTGGTACAGACAGATCATAGTAAGCAAAGAATGTACAGATCAAAAAGATTTAGACAGAGGCATACAGGTTATATCGCACAGGGCATGCGCTAGGTGAGATCAAAGTTGGCAAGATCAGCGTTATTTGAGGCTAGACAGTCCAATCATCACTCTGATAACGGCCATGAAGAAATTGTCCCTGAACCTGCTGGTGCATGTGTTCAAGCTTCTGTATCTTCTGACTGATGGAAGAGGTTATAGGAGATAATTACCAGGGTGCGATGGGTCTTTAATGATGTGGGCAGCCTTTCTGCAGCACCGAGCCGTGTATAAGGAGTTCATGGATGGAAGATTGGCTTCCATGAAGGTCTGGGCTGTGGACACCACCTTCTGTACTTTCTTACGATCTTGGGCAGAGCAGTTACCATACCAGGCTGTTCCGCACCCGAACGATATGGTTTCAATGGTGCATCTGTAGAAGTTGATGAGGAACCTTATGGACATGTCAAATTTCCTGAGCTGCCTGAGGAAGAAGAGGCATTGTTGTGCCTTCTTGACTGTTGCAGCTACATGGGAAGTCCAGGACAGGTTGTCAATTACCATCACTCTGAGGGAATTTGATGCTCTTCACCCTCTCAACCTCAGTTCCGTTGATGTAGATGGGGGCATGTTCTCCTCCTTTCTTTCGAAAGTAGATCTTTTTCCTTCCATAGTCTTACATTGTCAGCAGCGACTGGAAGGGTGTCCAGAAAATTTAAAACCAAAACACATTCTTCCAGTGCTGGCACCACTGGTAATGAATCTGCCAGTGGGACACAGCTCAAAGCATTGCATTTGCTACTTGGCCCCCCGGATAGTGTTCCAACTTGTAACTTGCACTTAGAATGAGAGCCCACCACTGAATTTGACCTGAAGCTATGGGCAGCACAGCCTTGTCCTCTTTGTGTGGCCCTAGCAGGGGTTTGTGGTCTGTTACTATTACAAATTTGTATCCGTAAAGGTATTGGTGGAACTTTCTCACATCAACGATGACCGCCAAACCTTCCCTTCTCTATCTGGGTGTATTTGCGCTCTGCATCACCGAAAGTCCAGGAAGCATATGCTATTGGGTGTTCCTCTCCATTGGGCCATCTATGAGCCAACACTACCCTGAAACTGTATGTGGGGGCATTGCATTTCAGCACCACATCTCGCTTGGGATCGTGGTGTTCCACCACCTTGGACTGTGATAACTGTTTCTTCACTTCTCCAAAAGCTACGTCTTGGCTACGAGACCATTTCCAAGACTGATTCCTTCTCAATAGCAGATGTAAGGGTACCAGAATGGAGGCCAGCTTATGTATAAACTTTCTGTAATAATCCACCAATCAAAGGAAAGACCTAAGCTCCTGTACAGATATGGGAGTTGGGGTGCCTTTGATCACTCTCACTTTATCTACCTATGGATGTACCCCAGTCTTGTCAACTCTGTAGCACAAGTAGGTCACTTGGGGTGCCTGGAACACACAGATTTCCCTTCTAAGGTGCATGCCCATCTTGGAGAAACATCTAAGTACTATATTCAAGTTCTTTAAGTGCTCTTTATTGGTCTTCCCTGTTATTAGCACATCATCCCAGATAAACGATAACATGGGGTAGACCTTATAAAGTGTCTTCCATCATCCACTGAAAAATGACACAGGCTGATGATGCTCCAAGTGACATCTTGCATATTGGTACAAACCTTTATGGGTATCAATTGTAGCATATTCGTGGGAATCCTTTATTCATTTACGGGATGAGAGCATCACTGGCCAGGCAACATTTATTGCCCATCTCTAATTGCCCAGAGGGCAGTTAAGAGTCAACCACATCCTCATCTAACTACAATTGCAGGTATGCATTCGATTTGATTTGATTATTAATGTCACATGTATCAAGCTACAGTAAAATGTTTTGTCTTACATGCAGTACAGGCAGATCATACCAAACAAAGTGCATAGAACAGAGTGAAGAATGCAATTTTATGGCTGCAGAGAAGGTGCACAGACAGCAAGATCAACATTAAATTTAAAATTTGAGAGGTCCATTCAGAAGTGTAATAACAGCAAGAAAAAAGCTATTCTTAAATCTTTTTGTACAAAATTTTATATCTTCTGCCCGATGGAAGAGAGTACAACGGGTGTCAGTGGTCTTTGATTATGTTGGTTGTTTTCCCAAGGCATTGGGAAGTATAGATGGAGTCAATGGATGGAAGGCTGGTTTGGCTGATGGACTGCGCTATGTTCACGACTCTGTGTAATTTCTTGTGGCTGTGGGAACAGCAAATGCCAAACCATGCTGTGATGTATCCAGATAGTATGCTTTCTATGATGCATCTATAAAAATTGGTAATAGTCCTTGTGGACATGCCAAATTTCCCTAGCCTCTGGAGGAAGTCGAAACGTTTTTGTTGTGCCTTCCTGACCATTATACCGATGTGTTTGGACCAGGACAGATTGTTGGTGATCATCACTCCCAAGAACTTGACGCTCTGGACCATCTCCACCTCAGCACCAATGACACAAATAGGGCACTGTACTTCATTTCCTGAAATCAATGACCAACTCCTTTGTTTTGATGACGTTGTTGGAGAGATTGTTGTTTTACACCATGCTGCTAACCACCCAATCGCTTTCCTGTACTCTGTCTGGTCATGTCCAGCTTCGAGAAGGACGGCCCCCTGCCAATTTTGCATTTAAGTTTTCTTGGGGGATTGGGTATTTGTCTAGGTGCGAGAAGCGGTTTACTGTTTGTTCAAAAATGCCACAAAGGTGGACTGAGCCATCGGGCTTCACAATCAGTATGAATGGCACTGCCCATTCCACAAACTGTACTTGTTTGATGATTCCTTCACTTTCAACCTCCTGATTTCTGTCTCTGCTTTTGGGTGGGCCTTACAGAATTGTGGAATTGCTTTCTGGTCAACATTCAAGGTGGCCTTGGCTTCTTTGATAGTCCTTAGACCTTCTGAAAATCTTCTGGGTATTTAATTAGGACTTCACTCAGCAGCCATTTTCTAATCAAAAAATGTTGAACCAATCAAGATAAATCTTTCTCAACCAATTCTGCCCCATCAGGCTTGGGCCCGAGGTTTTATTGCAATCAGTGACTCATAAGAGACTGGAATCAAAGTTGTACCATTAATCTGTAACTATTTCTTAATAAAGATTTTCAATCTAGCCAAGGTCTTACGCAAACTTGAGGGTTGGAATCCAGAGTGAGTTTTGTTAAAGACTGATTGTGTAATCACCGATACAGCTGCACTAGTATCAACCTCCATTAACCAATTTATTTTGATTGGTTCTGATTTGGATGTTGCTAAGCAATTTAGCTGTTCCAAACCAGGTGTAGGTGGGCTTTCCAGGGTGTGCACTCGCTTGGATACTGGTCTATGAGTTCTCTTACTGAATTCAGGCCAAGTGGGCCTCTGTTTGTTGTCTTGAGTCCACATTCCGGTAGCAACTATAGTGGGTTGCCGGCCCGAATCCAGTAGAAAATATTAACTGTTTGTCCAAGGCATGGCTTTATTTTGGGGTTTTGCTCTGGACTGATCTAAAATCCCTCTGTCCAGGATACGTCCTGATTGAGGCTATGCAATTGCCTTCACTCAAGTGGTGTCCCCCAAGCTCAATCAGCCTGGAAAAGGTGTCCACTACCAATGGGATACCCTGTAACTCATATCCTGTACTTGCTGCATTTTCTAATGACAAAGCCAATTGCAGTGCATGTTTGAAGTCCAGTTGGGCTTCAGCTATTAGGTGGATTTGCATGGTTAGATCATTAATTCCAAATACCAAAAGGTCTCTCAGCATCTCATTAAGAGTTAAACCAAAGTCACAGATGCCTCTGCCAGTCTTTATAACAAAGTCAAAAATTCCGACATGGATTCTCTGGTTCTTGATCCGCCGAGTAAAATCGATTGTGTCTCAGAATTAGAGGAAGCTTGGAGTCGTAATATTCCTTAACTAAATCCATCAATTCTCGAAAGGTTTTAGTATCTGGTGCCCCAGGAAGCATTAGGCTCTTAATAACTGAAAAAGGTGCAGGTCCAAAAGCTGTCAGTTGCTTTTCATCTGCCCCAGTGTTATTTAGCTGGAAAAAATAATGCATTCCTTCCACATACTGGCCCTGGCAGGATTGAACGAGTCAAGCTTCAAGCTTCCCAAATACAGCATGATGCAGAAATGCATACCCCCCCAACTCAAAGATGACTGTTGTAAGCGAATTTCTTCAGGAACTTATTTGTTTTATCTTGTCGCCACTGAAATAACTCCACTCCCATCATCATGTCACCCTTAATTTACATGTGCCTAGTACTTGACACTGGTCCGGCTTCCCCAGAGCCAGCTCTCCGACTGAATAGAACCTCTGACGCTCCTGTTTATATCTGTCAGCCAGGGCTCCCTGATTGAACTGGGTTAATGGCCCCAATCAGGGAACTCATATTCTGTGAGGTCCACCTGGCTGATCTTGTTACAATTGCTACAAGGATGGTGGCAGCAAATCCATGCGTTGGATCTTACACCATAATGGATTGTGGTGAGTGTTCTTCTTACAGCAGCTAAAGGCCCTCCGATTGAAAAATTGCTCCCAGGTGACTGTTCTCCAAATTGTGCAGGGCTATGATCTCTATTTGACCCCAACATTTAAAATCATGGAAACTTACACCATAGAAGGCGGTTAGTCAGCCCATTGTGCCTTGAGAAGTGATTTTCAATCAGGCCCATTGCCCAGCTCTTTGTGTTTCAATTTCTTCCTTCATAAATTCATCTAATTTATTTCAAATGTTATCATTGAACAAGTTTGCTTCCTTACTTTGGAAAAGCATTCCAGAGTCAAAGCAGAAAATACATTCAGATTCTCTTCTCTGAGTTCCTACTATCAATTGATTTATATCTGCATTTCCTACATTCCCAAACCCCAGTGGAAACAATTTCTTTAAAGTGTCAGAAGTATTAAAATACATTATATTCCCAACAGGTTATTCTTTTTTAGGAACACATCACCAATATTGCAACAGTAAAGTACCACAAATGCATCTCTTACCAGTTATAACTGGTTCTGCAACTTTTATATGGCTGGTGTCAAATTCCAATCCATTGCATTTATCTGTAAATTAAAAGACAAGATTATGTGAATCACTTGTCATTACAAAATATCAGAGGATTGTTCATACTCAAATTCTGCTGGACCAAGAGTATTCTGATTTTGGTGTAGAAAGTATATTAGCATTAGTACATTAATACAGAAATGTAGCCTACACCGTGCCATCAGACCCTCACAGAATACACTTGGGTTAGAGGTATAAGTTTCCTTTACATTGTCCCAACAAATATTTTCATGTTTAGCTGTACGTAGGTAAGAACCTAAAATCTTCCATACCAGGCAACATCATGGTAAACCTTTTCTGTACCTTCTACAAAGCATCCACATCCTTCTGTTATTGTGGTGACCAGAACTGTACGCAATATTCCAAGTGTGGCCTAACTAAAGTTCTGTAAAGCTGCAGCATAACTTGCCTATCTTTATAATCATTGCCCCTTCTAATGAAGCCAAGCATGCCGTAGGCCTTGAGAACGTCGACCAATTTTCTGTCCTCCATCACCTCCTCAAAAGACTGGATCAAGTTAGAGACTTTTTCCCAGGGCGGAAATGACTATTACGAGGGGCATAATTTTAAGCTGATTGGAGGAAGATATAGGGGAGATGTCAGAGCTAGGCTCTTCACACAGAGAGTGGTGGGCGTGTGGAATGCGCTGCCGGCAGTGGCAGTTGAGTCAGATACGTTAGAGACTTTTAAGCGACTCTTGGATAGGCACATAGAGGATAGTAAAATGTAGGGTATGCAGGGTAGATTGATCTTAGTAGGACAATAGGTTGGCTCAAAATCGTGGGCTGAAGGGCCTGTACTGTGCTGTACTGTTCTAGGTTCTGTAAGTTAGTGAGGCATGACCCGCCATGCACAAAATCATGCTGTCTATCACTAGTAAGTCCATTTGCTTCTGAATGCATATAGATCTTGTCCCCTAGAATCTCTTACAGTAATTTCCGTACCACTGGTGTGAGGCTTACAGGCCTGTAATTTCCAGGATTATCCCTGCTACTCTTCTTAAACAATGGGACAACATTGGTCGTTCTCCAGTCCTTTGGAACCTCACCTGTAGCCAAAGAGGATACAAAGATGTCTGTCAATGCTCCAGCAATTTGTTCTCTTGCTCTCCTCAATATTCTGGGATAGATCCCATCAGGACCCAGGGACTTATCTGCCTTAATGCTTTTTAAGATGCTCAATACTCCTTCCTTTTCAATAGCAACTTGGCTTAGAAATTCAACACTCCCTTCTCTGAGATCATCGTTGACCAACTCCTTCTGTTTGAATACTGACACAAAGTATTCATTTAGGACCTCACCTACCTCTCCTGGCTCCACACTTGGATTCCCTCCTTTGCCCTTGAGTGGGCCAACCTTCTACTTGGCTACCCTTTTGCTTTCTTTATGTGGATAAATAGCCTTGGGATTCTCCTTGATCCTGTTTGCTAACGACTTTTCATGATCCCTTTTAGCCCTTCTAATTCCTTGTTTAAGTCCTTTCCTACTTTCCTTATATCCTTCAAGGGCTTCATCAGTTCCCATCCTCCTAGACCTTATGTGTAGATACAATTTGGGTTAGATACCAATGAATCTTCCTCTACATTGCCCATCAAACATACAAGGTACAGCACTAAGTTAGATACAGGATACAATCTCCTCTGCGCTGTCGCTTTAAGCATTCCCAGAGCAGGTCTGATGTATAACAGCAGCCTTGTATATTGTTAAACAATGGTTTGAACTTTGGTTGCCAACATGGTGTTAAAGATCACCTGGTGTAACACATTCTGCTGCATTTGTTGAAGCTGAAGACTCTTGATTTAGGAAGTGAAGGTTTCACTTACCTTTGTTTATGCTGGACAGGTTCAACAGCAGTTCGAAATTGTAACGCCCTTTTGCACTATCAACTGATTATACAACTGATTTAAAGAGCATTATCTTTTACACATTGGAGTTTCAGGTTTGACCCCTACCTCCTGTCACATTGAGGCAAGGTGTTTCTTCCAGTTTGTCTTTAAGCTGTTCAGCTGTGTTAGAGAGATAGTCTGGAGTAAACTCTGCTGAATTGGTCGAATTGATGATGACGTCATGATCAACAAGGATGCTGCCATTTCTATGAAGCAAAGAGGAAGGCACATTAAACTCAATGAAATTCTATGTGACTTGTGTACAATGAAAGGTGTGGCTGCAACTATTTGAGCTATGTAGAACAATCTTTACTCTGTCTCAAACATGTACTATACATTCTCTGCAAATATCTGGCAGTGCAATGTGAAAAAGCATTTTCAAAGGCATTGCTTTTGATGTCTAAGAAGAGGAATGTTGGTTACGATTAGGCTCTGTCAGTCATAGCATGAGACCGTCAAAAGGAGCTGCAACCTGGGGTTAATAACTCCATCAGTTCTCCTTCAATACTGCATGCAAAGATACAAACATAGGAATTTGAAGCAGGCATACGCCATTTGGCTCTATTAACCTCCTTTGCCATTCAATATGATCATGGCTAATACAATTAGTGGCCTCAACATCACATTCTAGCCTCAATAAAAATCGATTCCCTTGATAGTCAAAAATCTATTTACAATACTTCCACTATAGGCTGGGAGAAAGCGTGCTAAAGACTCATGACTTCCTAATTGTAACTTGCTGAGAAAAATATTTCCTCCTCATTGCTATCTTAAATGGGAGAATCCTTATCTTTAGGTAATTCCAATCCCTACTATAAGCGTAAATGTTCTTTCAGCATCCACTCTGTTAAGATGCCCAATAGATCACCTGCCATTCTTCAAAACTGCAAAGAATACAGGCCCAGCCTGTCCAAACTTCCCTCATAAGATAATTTCCATCCCAGGTATTAGTTGAGTGTACCTTCTCTAAACCACTCCTTATGCATTTATATCCTTTCCTAAATAAAGAGACCAAAACTGTATTCAGCACTCATGATGTGGCTTCACCAATGCCCCATATAACTGTAGCAAAACATGCCTTCTTTCATATTCCTCTTGCAATAAGTAACATTTAATGCACTCACATACTAAGTTCTTCTGATCCCTCTATTTCTCAGGGTTTTGCTCCCTTTCTTGATTTAAATAATATGTTGATTCTGTATCCTGTTGCCAAAGTGGACAAGTTCATATTTTCCATTATTATAATCTGCCAAATTATAGCCAATTTGCTTAATTTATCTGAATCCTTTTGCAGAATCTTTGGATAGAATTTCCATGCCTTGAAAGATGTGGGCTACGGAGAGAATTTTGTGAAAATCGCATCCTCCAACCATGTCCAGGATGTCGAGATGAGATTCTCACTAGTGAGTGGCCAGAGGCCTATTAACTGGAGCTAACACTCATTACTATCCTCATTACTGATTCATTTCATCTCATTGACAAGCATTCTTCTATTTTCTAACCTGCTAGATAGAAACTAGATGCTGAGAATTCCCAACATGAAAATCAGAGCAGCTACCATGCAACTCCAGCTTCTTGCTTGCACCTCTGGACCTCTATCTCGGACAATGTCTCAAGGCATGGTCCATGAGCAGTGATTGCACACATCACACATCCACAGACATTGGCACTTGACACTTACCAACCTCATCCCATCTCTGAACCACTTACAGTTTGCTCTGCACTGCCAAGCTTTGCTTTGGAGCGCACCAGCAACTATCATTGAAATAATGCTACAAAGATATTTTGCACTTAGGGATAGACATCCAGCTCATTGATTTGAAGAGGCTGCATCTCTGGTCTGTTCACTTTCTCCATTAGTGTTTACTCACTTTGAGCCAATCTGGATTACCAGAACCTTGCCTTGCCTTGCTTTTGCCTTTCTGTACTTTTTCCCCTCAGCTACACTTTAAATACTCACAGTACTTCAACCATGATTTGCTATTGAATGTAGACACAGGCCAGACAATGTTCATGCTTGTTAGCAATCATCAGCCATCAGTCAAAGAGGTGGACATGTTTCTGTATGGCACTGTGCTAGGTCAATCTCACGCCTACAGAATGTTCCAGTATCCTACACTGCAAACAAACTGCACATGCGTCAACCAAGTGACCATGTCTCAGATTTGAAGGGGAGTAGTCCTCAGTCAAACTGGGAGGTGAGGGAGGGGGTGGGTGCTGCTGCTGCTGCTGCTGTCTGTAAGGGAATCCAGGTACAGTCAGCCAAGGGTTGCACTGGCTCACAGTCCAGGGGTTTGGGTGCTTTCAGATGTCTGCTTGGGGTAGTCAGAGTCAGGTCGCTCATCTTGCTCTGGAGAGTGGACCACAATCAGTCCCATACATCCATTGCAAGCAGTCACGGGATTAACAGATTGTCAGACAGGAGATGCACTGAGAACAGTCAGATGTCTGATCTATCATCAGTTGAACTGTCAAATGGAAAATAAATATGATCCTCAGTAGGCAGAGTCAATACATTTCCTGACCAAAAACGTGAGATCAATTCCTGGGCAATGGGAGGCCCTTTAAGGGGGTAATTGCATCAATTATGCACTTGCGGTGTTTAGCTTTAACTAATTTGCAATCATAAATTGCGCAAGTGAAATGTATGCAGTGTACAACTCTGTGGTGTATAAATGCTGGTCGTTAGCCATGTCCACCATGTCATTAGTCCTCGCAGATTTAAAGATAGTCATCTCTGTGAAGCAGAAGTAATCACAAGTGTGCTTAAAATAGGCACCTGTAGGCCACAAAGCACAAAGCTAATGCAAACTCTCATACTAGTGTACCATACTGTGTGGAGAAAGGAACAACACTCAGTAATCCAGCTGTGGCCTAACCAAAGTTTTTACAGCTTCAACCTGACCTCCCTGTTCATATAATCTATACCACAGTAAAGACAAGCATCTCATATGCCTTCTTAACTACCCTATATTAACCTGTCCTGCTGCCTTCAAGGATTTGTAGACAACCACCCCAAGATCTCTCTGTTCCTCTGAACTTCCTCGTGTTCTGCCATTCATGTGTAAAAAAACCTGCCCCTCACATCTCCTTTGAATTTTCCCTCTCTCACTCCAAATGCATGCCCCCTAGTATTAGACATTTCAACTGTGGGGAAAAAAGATTCTGACCATCAATTCTATCTATGCATCTCAATTTTATAGACTTCTATCAAGTCACCCCTCAGCTTCTGCCACTCTAGAGACAACAACCCGAGATTTTCTAGCCTCCCTTTATAGCCCATACCTTCTAATCCAGGCAGCATCCTGATAAACATATTCTTCACTCTCTCCAAAGCCTCCACATTCTTCTAATAATGTGGCAACCAGAATTGAACACAACGTTCTTAAGTGTGGCCTAACCAAAGTCTTAAAAATCTGCAGCATGACATCCTGACTCTTGTACTCAATTCCCCAACCAATAAAGGCAAGCATGTCATACGCCTTCTTTACCACCCTATCTACTTGCACGGCCACTTTCAGACTGCTATGGACTTGAACCCCAAGATCTCTCTGTACATCATGTGTTGACATGAAAAGCTCACCTGAATATATTTCAAGAAATCTGTCCCTTCTATATCCTTACACTATGATCATTCCAATTAATTTGGGGAGGTTGAAATCCTGATTAAAGTTAGCCTATTATTATTATTATCATTGCACACTCCAGTGAACTGTCTCCATATTTGCTCCTCTATTCCCTATTGAGGACGTATAATTCATTCCCTCCCTACTTACTGCCATAACTGATATCTTAATTAATAATGTAACAGCACATCCTCTTTTACTCTGTCTTGCCTGAAGATCCTATGATACAGAATGTAAGCAGGCAGTGAAGAAGGCAAATGCTATGTTGCCTTCATGCTGATAGAATTCAAGTACAGGTGCAGGACTGTCTTGCTACAGTTGTACAGAGCCTTGATGAGATCACATCAAGAGTATTGTACGCAGTTTTGGTGTCCTTATCTGAGGAAGGATGATCTAGTGATGGAGGAGAAAATCAACAGACTGAATTCTGGGATGGCAGGATTGATTTATGAAGACAGACGAGACTGGTTGGCATTATGCTTCCACTAGTTCAGAAGAATGAGGGAGGATCTCATAGAAACATATAAAATTCTGACTGGACTAGACAAGATAAACACAAGTAGGATGTTCCTGATGATCAGGAATTCAAGAACCAGGGATTATAGTTTAAGCATATGGGATAGGTCATTTAGGACAGAGATGAGGAGAAATTTATTCATCCAGAGAGTGGAGAACCTGTGGAATTCTCTGCTACAGAAAGCAGTTGAGGCCAAAATATTGAATGTTTTCAAGAAGGAGTTAAATATAGCTGTTAACACTAAAGGGATCAAAGGGTATTGGGAGCAAGTAGAAACAGGATACTGAATTGGTTAGTCAGACATAGAACATTACAGCGCAGTACGGGCCCTTCGGCCCTCGATGTTGCGCCGACCTGTGAAACCAATCTGAAGCCCATCTAACCTAAACTATTCCATTATCATCCATATGTTTATCCAATGACCATTTAAATGCCCTTAAAGTTGGCGAGTCTACTATTTTTGCAGGCAGGGCATTCCACGCCCTTACTACTCTGAGTAAAGAACCTATCTCTGACATCGGTCCTATATCTATCACCCCTCAATTTAAAGCTATGTCCCCTCGTGCTAGCCATCACCATCCGAGGAAAAAGGCTCCCACTGTCCACCCTATCTAATCCTCTGATCATCTTGTATGTCTCTATCAAGTCACCTCTTAACCTTCTTCTCTCTAACGAAAACAGCCTCAAGACCCTCAACCTTTCCTCATAAGACCTTCCCTCCATACCAGGCAACATCCTGGTAAATCTCCTCTGCACTCTTTCCAATGCTTCCACATCCTTCCTATAATGCGGTGACCAGAACTGTACGCAATACTCCCAAGTGCGGCCGCACCAGAGTTTTATACAGCTTCAACATGACCTCATGGCTCCGAAACTCAATCCCTCTACCAATAAAACCTAACATACTGTACGCCTTAACAAAGCTATCAACCTGGGTGGCAACTTTCAGTGATCTATGCACATGGACACCGAGATCTTTCTGCTCATCCACACTACCAAGAATCTTACCATTAGCCCAGTACTCTGTATTCCTGTTACTCCTTCCAAAGTGAATCACCTCACA